GGCAGGGCCACAAGCTGCTCCCTGGTGCTCAGGACGGAGGCCTCTGCTGGCCCTGCAGCGGGATGGCAGCCTGCTCCTGGTCCTGGCCCAGGGACGCTGCCCCTCAGGGAGCACAGCGCTGCCCGTCTCTTAGGCTTGGGATCTCTGTACCTTCCTCCCCCTCCCCTTCAGCCTGTGGCTGAAGAAGATCCTCTAGTCTTAAGGGCCCCTGTGCCTGGGTGGGACGCCGTCACCAACCAAGACAGTGTCCCTAGTTAAAGTCCCAAGCCTTAAGTACCCCTCATGTCCCTTTGTCAGAAGTTCCAGGGCTGGGCGGGTTGGCTTCCTGGGAGCCCTCGGGCAGCCTGTCCCAACACTTGGTGACTGTGTGTCACTGTGTGTCATTGTGTGTCACTGTGTGTCACTGTGTGTGTGCGCTGGTGCTTCTGGCCCCTGAGGATGGAGGGGAGGCCTGGGGCTGGGCTCAGTGGGAGAGCGCTGGCCTGGAATGTGGGAGGCCCAGGCTTGGACCCTCAGCTCAGACAAAAATCAACAGCAATCAACGTACAGTGTCCGGCTGCAGCTGAGGGTGCTTGATGTGAGTGTGGGGGGATGGTGGGACGGTCCCCTGCTCAGCACATTCTCGTTCCCTTCACCCCCTTTCCTTCCTCCACGGGTCAGGTGGCTTGTGATTGGGTGACCCCGACCCTTGTGTGTGAATGGTCTCGCGCTGGTCTCCATGATCTTCCCCACTTTTTCACTGAACGTGGTCAGTCGCACGACCAATGTGTCCCCAGCCGATGACCGGGCACTGGACATATCCTTCCCTGCTCTGGTGCGACCGCCCCACTCCACCTGGTGACCAGGGACAGGTGTTCTTGACAGATGTTGGCTGCTCTCTTCCCTCGCTGGGCACTTGGCAGAAGAGTACCGCGACGGGCCACCAGCTGACCTTCGGGTCCAGGGGCACACTCGGCGGGTTCTAGGTGGAAATCCTCCTCCTCCGGGAGGCGGCCTCTCCAGCCGCTGAGCCTCCTCTGGGGGATTCCTAAGGTGCTCAGGGGGACTGTGCTGAGCAGCGCCCCTCTGGTCTTCACCCTTTGATTCCCAGGCTCATCGTCTACATCCTAGGGACCCTAATGAGAGGCTGAGGGACCCTGTGAGAGCCGTGGCGCCCCTCGGGGCACTCCTTGGTGTTGGCTACTATAATGAAACACCCGAGGCCAGGCCACCTTTGTAGGAACAGTAAGTCCAGTCGCTGCTCCCAAGTGCCAGGGTTCCTTCTGCCGACGGCCTTCCTGGTGGCCCAGCCCTGAGTCGGCACATGGCCGGGAGCTGCTCCTGCACCTGGGGTCTCCGCCGTCTGTCCCTCTTCCAATCCGTGAGGTTCCATCACCAGGTTCCCATCTTGGGTCCGCATCTCCTCCCAGTCCCTTCCCGGGGCCACCTCTAGACTCCACCGTGACTAAGAGACCCAACCCGCACAACTGTGGAGGAGGAAGGGCTTGTTTGAGGGCTCGGGGCTTCGGGGCTCTTGGTCCATGGAGAGCAGGCTGCACCCCGGGGCTCAGGTGCGTCAGGACATGGTGGCAGAGAGGGTGGGGGGGGAAGCGGCTCACGTGGTGACCAGGAAGCAGAGACTCCACTCTCCAGATGCAAGGACAGACCCCAGGCCTCCACCCCATGCCCACCCCCTCCAGCCACGGCCCTGCCTCCAGTTACCCCCAGTGAATGCCCTCAGGGGTCACCTCACTGAGGATGCTCAGATTCCCACGACCCCAGCACTTCCCCTGGACCTTCTTGCCTCGTCTCAGGACGTGAGCGTTTGGGGGACGCCTCACAGCCCCGCCTCACAGCACCATGGTAGGTGGGACACGGTTCTGGATCCACACCTCACAGTGGGGTTCACAGTGGGTTCACTGTCCACACAGGAAGCCTTGGGGGAGGCCCAGCCCAGATCCACACCAAGGAGCAGTCTGCCTCACAGAGTCTCACTGCCACCTGTCACCAAGCTGCACCTCTAAGAGGTCGCCTGATGGCTCTGAGGGGCCATGAGCTTCTGCCCAGGGGCCTGGGAGGAGCAGGAGGCCCAGCCCCCGCTGCCGCTCGGCTTCCTTTGCACCGAGTGTGGCGCTCAGCCCTGCTGAGGTTCTGCACATCTGTCGCGCATCAGGTTTCCGTGACCCCTCGGGGCACTTCCTGGCCAAGTCCGAGGTCAGGGAGGGCACAGCCGTGGCTGGCTTATGCCAGGCCAGGTGCACCCTGCCCTTCCAGGGCACAGGGCTCCTGTGTGCAGGCTGGTCTCCTGGACACTCTGCCCGCAGGCTGCACTCAGCAGCGGATCTGCGACAGCCTGGTGCCTGGGGGCTGGAGTCCTGGTCCACAGTGGCCCTCAACTGTCCCCACAGCCGCTCAGTCTTGTGCCCTCTGTTCTGAGCCCTGGCTGATGACGGGCTGGGAAGCCAGCGACTAGCCCAGCCACGATGCCTCCTGGCTGATGAGTGCCACTGGGTGCTAGATTCTCTGGGGACCCGGACGTGAAAAGACAAGGACCGTCACACCTTGAGCTCCTCTCTGCTGTGCATTGAGTGGATCCCCAAAGATGAGTTTGCTGGATGCTTGTCCCCAGTGTGGCAATGGCGGGCGGTGGTGGGGCCTTTAGGAGATGGGCCTGGTGGGGGAGTTAGGATGGTGGGCCTCTGCCCTCCGCAGGGATTGATTCTGGCTTTGCAGAGTGAGTTTGCTTTTGAGAGATCTGGTTGGTATGAGGGGAGGGCCCTCTACCTGTGCACCCCCTTCTGAGTACTGCTGAGTTCCTTTCCACGTCGTCCCCATGTTGTGATACATGGCAGGGCCCTCCCCCAAGGCCAAATGGATGGAGCAGCTCCATCTTGGGCTTTCGGTCTCTAAAACTATGAGTGAAAGGATCCTTTGGGGTTTATAAAGCACTCAACCTAAGGCATTTTGTTATAGCAACAGAGAGCTCCAACGCTCTGGTCAGCCCATCCATATGCCTTGATCCCAGGAGTCCTCACCACCATCCCCTCAGCTTCAGCTCTCAGGCTGCTGACCAAGAGCCAGGGTGTCACCCTGCTCCTGTGTCCGGATCTAGTCACCTGGGGCTACTTCTCTTTTCTCATGTGGACTGTTTCCTTTGCCACCTGGACCTGTGCCCTTGGGAATCTTGCCTCCCTCCGGTGTGTCCGGTCCCTGGATTCAGCTGTGAACTCCTGTCCTTCCTCCTCAGCCTCCTCGGAGCCAGTCCACCCGTGGACCATGCACTGGCCTTCCATTCTCCACCATTGGTCCTGAAGGTCCCTGCCGTGGGGCCCCAGGGGTGAGCAGAACAGGTGCTGGTTTGACATTGTGCCCGCCAGGGAAGCAGGACCCCTGTTCCAGAAGCCTCACTGTCCCCTGGTCCTGCCTGGGCCGGATCCTGCACCCATCAGCTCCATTTTGGAATCGATTGCTGTGTGGTGTCCCTGATCTGATTGGGTGGGCCACTCTGTGCGTTGTGGCCTGTGGTTCCTCTCCTCTGTCACCCGATCACTGGCTGGATGCTGCTTTGGGACCCTCTGTCCTTTTCTGTACAGGCCTTGACCTTCTCCAGATCCCTGGGGCTGCGCTGGGACTCGCCCGTGGAGGCCCGAAAATCTGGGCAGGGGACTTTCTCTCCACACACACCTCTGACCGGAGGGTCTGTTGGACCATCAGCCGCCCTGGTCCTGGGCTTCCTGTCCAGCACCGACGTCGCCCCATGTTAATGCCTGGGAATCGTGCTGGAGCAACACGTCACTTTGAGGACGCGCCTAGCAACCCTGGGGCTCTTCCTGAGTGACAGGAGGTGGGAGGCACTGGCTTTATTTGGAGGGGGTCTGACGCAGCCCGGACCCCGGATTCCTAAAAACCTCACCCATGAGACCAGAGCTGGGCCTTCCTGGGGTCATCTACTGCCCGGGAGGTCGTTCTTCCGATGTCCTTGTCACGTCTTCCCTTCTTCTCTGACCCAGGGATGGGCTGGGGGAGGGCGGCGTGGCCCCACTCAGCTGATGCGGATGACAGCAGGCAGCAGGCTGCAGGCCCGGCCAGGCTCCCCTGGGCTCTGGACATCCTCCGTCAGTGGGAACTCTCGGCCTCCATTCCAGGGGGGACGGGGACTGCAGTCACCAGCTCAGTGGCCACATAATCAAATCCTAGGACCGTGTCCTCCTTGTAGCCAGGATTTCATGTCCAGCCCAGCAGCTGCAGGATGACCTCTCCTGGGGGAGACTGCAGAGGCCCCTGTCATCTGGCAAGGTCCATCAGGGTTTTGATGGGGACAAGGGGTGAATTAAACGGGGGTTCGAGGTGCACCTAAATTCCTGAGCCTCCCACCTTTGAGGATGGCCCTGGTGTCTGCCGTTACCTCTGGACACTAGGACTGTGTTTCCAGTCATGGCCAGGAGGGGGGCGACCAAGGTTTTTACTTTTATCCCCCATGAACAGACCTCTGGCCCGCCTGGTCAGGACCCCTGTAACCCCTTCCCCAGGTGTCCCCATGCTCACAGGAGGCTCAGTGTGGCACGCTGGGTCCCCAGCTTCCATAGTCACCCAGATCCTGTGTCCCAGGATTCTGTTCAGGGCAGTGGCCTGTGGCCCCTTGGCGGGGCAGGGCAGGTAATAGGTGACAAGTGGCCATCGGTGAAGAAGGACGCAATCTGGGGCCCTTGCCGGGTTCCATGGTGACAACACAGCACCACGACCAAGGTCAGGCTGCAGTGAGCTGGGACCTCGGGAGAGCTGCAGAGTGGCCCTGGGTGTGTCCCCCCCCACATCGATGCCAGGGACAGCGTGTTTTAGTGTCCTAGGTCTTTGGAGTGTTCAGATGTGGTGTCCCCCCAAGGTCACCTGTGAGACCCTGCAGGAAGGTCTGGGGGAGAAATGGCTGGGCCACGCCTTGGCCTCATCAGGGAATTAACCCCTGAGGGGATTAACTGAGGTCACTGGAGGCCGGGGGTGGCTGGAGGCAGCAGGGCACTGGGGACGGGGCTGGGGATGCACTTGGTGTCTGGGGAGGGGAGTAGCGTCCTGGGCGTCCTGTGAGCTGCTTCCCTCCGCCACACCCTCTGCCTGATGTCCAGCCTCCCCTGGAGCCTGAGGAACCAGCTGGCTGTCCCCGGATTGAGACCTGGGACTGGTGAGCCCTCAGGTGAAGGTGTCCTGCTCTAGGGTCGTGCTGGCTGGTCCCTTCAGTCACTGCAGGGAAAACGCTGACCAAAACAGGCTTCAGGAACAGGGCAGCCCAGGGGCTCAGAGGGACAGCCTCCACCGTCTCCCGGGTCTGGAGGCCGGAAGTCACACCTGGAGCCTGGGCAGCCAGTTCCCTGTGACCCTGTAGGGGAGACGCCTTCCTCCCTTGTCCAGCTTTTGGTGTTTTTTGGGGTGATCCTGGCATTCTTCAGAGGTACCCCCAATGTCTGCCTCCATTGTCCCAAGGTCGTTCCTCCCTGGGGGCTCGAGGGACAAGGACGTCAGGGACACCCAAGGCATGAGCCTTCCAGGGCAGCCCCTGCCTGTGGTTCCAGTGAGGGGTCTCGTGGTCAGAGAGCGAGGCTGATCCCATGCAGGGACAGACCGCTGGACCCCGACGTCTGCACCGCTGCCCTCTCTCCCTTCACTCCTCACCCGAGACTCCCTCCCCTGCCTCGGGCTGCTGCGGGACCCGCCGTCCACCCTCCTCTGTGTGGGGAGCTGAGCGCTGTCCACCTTCCACCCTGCTCCTGCCCGGGCCATGGGGCGGCTTTTATGAGGAGGAGCTTGAGCCGCGGCCCCGACCTGGGGATCCTTTCTGAACGTCAGCGCTGGCTCCAGTCCCCAGGATCCCAGCCAGGGTTACCCAGTAAAGGGTCCTGAGCCAGAGGTGGCTCCTGGCCTGACCC